GCCCCGGCACCCTGTGTCCCCCTCTTCGGTCTCACACTGGGGATCGCCGCACGGAGCTCAGCCCTGGGGCTGAAACCTCACAGCAGCACTGGCGCAGGGCAGAGGGGCTGGGGTCTCGGGGGCTACGACGTATAAATACATCCAACATACCCCTGAATGCATACGTGAACAGAAAATCACTAATTGGAGAGTCATAAGCATGTTAATTATTTGAGTATGTTCACTAATTAGACATGGAGTTACACGGACCCAAACTGTATGAAAATCTTCCATGCCACACGCGGATCCTCAGAGGCTTCGTCTTTTTAAATATTTCAGGCACATACAAGCAACCATTTCCATATATGAACACTTTCCAAAGTAAACCTTTTAGATTAAATATCTCTTGGAGGCGCTTAACTCACATTACTTCTGGCCTTCCCCCATGCCAGTGAATTGAATACCAATCAACGATTAAAACCAGAGCTAACGAGACTGAGCTACGTAACGTCCCGTAGCTGCTAAACCCCAGGGAACCTGCTCGCCCTCCCGGTCACCCCTGCTCCTACCACCCGTGGGTTCCCGTGGTTCGAGGGCTGCAATGATGGGGTGGGACAGGGATTTTGGGACCGGCTGTGCCCCCGTACAGCAGCTCCGGGCTCCCCGTGCCGGCTTATGGGGAATGAGCCTGAGCAGTGCTGCAGCCAGCAAGGGGATTTTCAGGAGCGGTTTGCTCATAGCTGTACTGTGGTTTACATCATCCCTGGGGAGAAGGGTGTTTTCCAGCCTGGATCCCTCCCATGGTGACGGGGCAGGTGACATCCCCAGCCCGGCGAGAGGCTGGGCCATCAGGTGGGAGAAGCACCCACCCTTGGAGCAGCACCGTGGCCGGTTAACCGCTGCTAGTAAACCCAACTGGCTGCTAATAAATAATAAATAACAAATCCAAACGCTGCTAGTGACTCCATTGGCCGTATGCACGGGCAGATGGGGTGAAGCTCTGGACCATCGCAGGATGAGCTGGGTCACAGTGGCAGAGAGGAGCCGGGCACCTGCGGGTGTCCGTGTATCGGGCAGAGACACGAGGGTCCTCCCCACCTCTGCGCCCCGCGGGATGCGGGGTCCCAGGCAGGGCTCGCAAGGTAAAAAGAAGAAAAAAACCCCAACAGCAACCCCCAAAACACAGGCCAAACCTCAAATGGGGGTCTCAATGCACAGTGCCCTCTTCAAAATGCTTTTTAAAGTTTATGCAGCATCCCCCTTACCGGATGCTGAGGGACCCCTGCGCGTACGGGTACGGCCCTGGGACAGACAAGGGCCAAGCTATGCAACACAAGACATAAAACCGACAATACAATTTTATTTTGTATTTCATACAAATGGCTCCCTACCCACGTTTTACAGAGTTAAACAGCATTACCCAGCGACACGGGGAGGCTCGCTTGCGGCCCCCCCAGACCCCACATAACGTGAATGAGGCGGCCCGTAGCCAGGCATCACCGTGCCCTGGGATGGGGTTGTGCGAGGCGGCTCCAGCTCCAAGCTCCGTGGGGGGATCAAATGAGTTGATTGCTCCTAAGAAAGGTTATCACGAGACAACTGCGTGGAAAAATTGATTTGTGGGAACTTGGTTTCAAATTAAAAGAAAAGGCCCGTGGCCCAGCACTCCCAGTGCTGTACTGGTCCAGCAACCAGGAGAGACCACCACGGATGCCCCGCCAACAGCCCGCTCGGTTTGGTGTTGGAAATTCATTAATTGTTTCGTTCCCCTCCTTTTCAAGGTGTTCCCTGTGCCAGGGCTGCCAGACGCCCGGCCTCCCCCCAGACACAGCCGCCACGCAGCTGGAGTCGAGCGGGGGACAAGAGCTGCAGAAAGTGACACACAGCCCCAGCGGGCAGCCGCGGGGCCATTCGTGTCGTGAGTTCTCCATCGCTCAGCCGAGCTGCAACCAGTCCTGGGTTTGGGTGACGCCTGAGCTTCAGAGCTACGGGCACCGGAGCTGGGCCCGGGTTACTGGAGGAATTCAGAACAAATGTTTCTGGCGATGGCAAACCAACGAGCCCCAAGCAGAGGCCTGTGACCAAGGGCAGTAACACTTCCCACCTGATTATTGTTAGTCTCCTCATCATTTACAGTTGTCCAAAGTACTTCCCTTCAGATGATCCAACCTACCAAGCAAGGCTATGTAAATACAAGAAAAACTAGGCTCAGCACTGTGATAAAAGTTTCCATGTGTTTCTTATACTTTAACAATTAAAAATCCTGACGGCAGAAGGAGGGGGAGGTGGATGCTCTGGTGCTAGCAGAAGGCGCAGGGCCAGCATCCCTCCGGCTGCGAGGCGGTACCCAGCCGGGATGCGCGCTCGGGCAGCCCAGCCAGGAGGCTGCCGGACACGGGGCAGGAGCTGCTGCAATCCCTACAAGACACCACACGGAAAGGCCTAAATGCAGCCATGTAACACCCTAAAATCCTTATTCCCTCTGGGACGCAGAACCTGTAGGAAGAAATTGCGTGCCCAGCCCCGACTGGGTAATGCTCCCAACCTTCCCCCAGTCCCAGATTTCTCAGCCCCCTGCTATGGGGACCCAGAAGGGGAAGGAGTGCTTTGGCCATCACCACATCTCTTATTTTCCTTTTCCAGGAAGGGGAAGCGAGCACAGACATTTCTTTTTCTCCCTTACCTCCTCCCTCTCTCAAGTGAGGAGGAGGAAGGAGGCTGTCGCAAAGCGGAACGAAGCTCGTGGTACCAAACACACGGCTCCTACCACCACCCGCGGTGGCACCCAGCAGCTGGGTGACTAAATTCTCTCTCCTCCAAACGCTAACATGAAAAAAACCCAAACCAACCAACCCACATTTCTCCAACGAAGCAACATCCCAGGATCCTCAAAAACTTTTCCCCCGTCAAATAAAATGGACGCTGGACCTGGCTAAAAGCACAGCCTGGGGATACAGGGATAAACCGGACCCCGGGGCTCACAGCTGCTCGGGGGGATTTTATCACCACCCCCCTGCTGCGAGGCAGACCCAGATGGCAGCAGAACGGGGATCTAGAAATAAAGGACTACAAAAATATAGCAAAAGCCGGGGAAGAGTCAGAATGGCCAAAGCAAGGACAGCCCTGGGGTGGGAGGTGGGAATAGCTGAGGCGGGCTCCGTGCTGTTTCAGTGTCCTTTAAAGGTGCTGCTCGGGGGATTAGATGACAGAACAACTGAGTTCGGAGTGAAAGGAGGAAGAAAAAAAAAGCCTCGTTGCATGCTCAGGGTGGAGATCTCTCGGGGAACTTGAATCGGTCTGTGTCAGCCTCAAACTGCAGTGCCCTGATCCAGGGAATTTCACAGCAATTACTGTTTTAAGAGACCACTTTTCTTCGGCACATCTGCTGGGATGGGGCTGAGCCGGGGACCCCGACCCACCGGTACCACGTCCCAGACTCCTCGGGGGGTCGGTTTTTAACCACCGGGGCAGCCGGAGGGCAGGAGATTAAGGTCAGGATATAGGAGTCAGCTTCTTTTGCTAAAGTGCCTTATTTTCTTTGAGCTTTTAAAACATCTTCCTTGCTTTTTCAGAAGAAGAGAGGGGCAAAAAAAAAAAAAAAGGAATACTGGTTTTATGCTAAACAAAATAGAGAATTAATCAATATTTACACAGATCTTGGGTAAGGTTATGGCACAGACTAATAACCCAACACAGCAACCCAAAAAGCAGAGTGTCAAAAAGAAGGGAAAAACCTGTTGGTATGCTTTCAACACCATCCCCCGGAGATCCCAAGTGTAAACGGTTTTATCTAGGAAAAGGCATTTTAACTTGGGCTTTGGTAATCGGGGTTGATTACAGCCACATTGCGCAGCCGGCGGGGAGGACGTGGGTGGGCGCACGGCCGCCCGACCTCTCCGGAGCACAGCCCGGGTTTAGACAAGTTCAACCTTAGCGTTTGGATAAACAGCCACCACGTCATATCCCTCGGGGGGCTTAACCCTCTCCTTCGCGTGCGTCTCGCAGTACAGCTGCTCTTCGATGAAGAAATACCCTCTCTGCTTCAGGTTGAGGCCACAGTCGTCGCACATGAAGCACTCGGGGTGGTAGAGCTTGTCCCGAGCTTTGACGATCGTGCCCCTGGCGAGAGATGGGGAGAGCTCGGGTGAGATGGGGAAACAGCGAGCAGAAACGGCTTTTCCTGCCGCCTCGAGTGAAATGGTGTAAGCAAAGAAAAGCGGCACGCGGGGGCACGTAAGGGTGTTATCATGGGTGCCCATCTCGACATCTCAGCCCACCCAAGGTGCAGCTCCGTGGGAAGGGATGCTCCGTTCCCGTTTATCCGCACCCCCTCTGTGGCACCGCTCCACGGCTCGATGCAAAGCTGAGCCTCAAATATCTACGCTCAGCCCGGATCTGAACATCGGGAACCAGCAGCTTCCACTTGCCGCTGGCAGGGCCGGGGCCGTGTGCGTGCAGGCACCGCGGCTTTCGGAGCGGAGACCTCAGCTCGCAGCACCAGCAAGAACACGGTTACAGGCATTTGCAGAGCAGAGGACTCTAAGCCAGCAAACCTGGCTTGAGCAGAACGTAAATTACAGCAGAACATAAATTACAACACGATGAAGCAGAAAAACGCCCATATTCTCTGAAATCAGACCCAACATCCATCCGTTGGAGAGTAACTCTTCAACAAACAAAAATAATCTGCAGACCTCTTCTACTTGACCCTCTTCTCCCTCCATAAGGCAGCGAAAGAGTGCGAGCGCTGCCGGCGCTGCTCACAGTCCCCGGGCAGTTACTACGATAAGCAGGGCAGAAACCATCCCATGAATCATCCCTGTTTTGCTGCAAGATTCCCTTAAAAGGGGCAATCCAAACCGTATTCCTCAATTCCAGGTTTATATACTGTTAGCAAAAACCAGAAAGGGATTCGAGGTATTCTGCTATAAATTGTAACCTGCACGCCTGGCAGGACCCGACCCCGCCGCGTCCCTGCGTTACCGTCCCCACCGAACCGGGGGCTCCGGCGAGACGCGACACTCACACGATCCCGTTCCCGCAGCGGGTGCACTCGGGGAGCATCTGGAGCCCGGACATGGCACCGCCGAGCTTTGACACTGGGGACTTGATGTTTCGGGGGTTGCTCAGTTTGTCGAGTTTTTCACCTGCCAAGAATTTTAAACAGACACAGACTGAAAATTTGTCCTCTCAGGGCTTTTATTTTTTCTTCTTCTTCTTTTCCTTAATGAGTCAGATGAATCTCTGCCCCTCACAACAGAACCTGCAACTTGCTTGGAAGGAATTAAAAAGCAAATAGCGAGACCAACGACCTCAGGAGTCGCACGGCGGGTGGGTTTGCAGATGACCGCAGGACGCTGTGCTGACCCTCTGCTCGCCCTAACGACCCAGGGATGGTGGCAGAAGCCCTTGGTTGTGTCAGCAGATCATCTATTCACGTGTTGTGATCGCACCAGCTCAGTATACGTACACCGCGTCAAAAGGCAAAGCAGTCTTGCTCTAGAGATTAGAGGTGAATGAGGCTGCAATGCTATTTAGCGAGTTAAAGATAAATAGCAAACATCTCAAAAAAGCTCCAGAAAGAAGAGGTTCTATCACACCAACGTTTCAGGTGCACTTGGTAGATCTACCACCAGTCAAGGAGATAAAGATGAAAGCTTTTTGGAAAATTAGGCAAATTAAAATAAACGATAATAGAATTACACGCATTTTTCTTCTTAGAACAATCATTTAATACAAAATAATCTAAACTAATCTAAACCAAAACATTGTGATAGAAGATAAGGTCTTCTGGGGCACCAAGTCTCCTTTCACAAAAGGTCCGACTATGGGAAAGGGAGCAATGAAAGATCTGTGCCTACGAACAACATCGTGGCAAAGTCTTCAGTGTTGCAGCCCGCCTCCCTACAGATCATCTATCATCTGCCCTCGCACTTCGAACAATACAGACGCGCTGGCTGCCAACCACTGGGACGCTGAAAAGCCTCCAGCATCCCCTGCGTGGTTTTTCACAGCTCACAACTGGCCAGGGTGAGCTTCTCTTTTGGGTACGTATTGATCTGTGGTTCCTCTGCGATGGCCTAACGTGACAGAAAGGAAAAGCTCATGAAAAAGGACAATATATTTTACTCCATCAGCTGATACAGTTCAGCAAAAAAAAAAAAGCAGAGGAGGTCCTTGGATGAACAAAGCCATTCGTCAGCGTTCGGGCTTCCCGTGCTCCCTGAGCTTCCAGGGTGTTTCAGCCCAGGGTCAAGCTCGAACACGTGCTTAAAGCCCACGATGCCCAGGAGGTCTCAGGAGGGGCCCAGGCACTTTCTGCCCCAGGTGTCCGTACGCGCTGCACTGCTTTTGGAAACTTCCAGTTGGATTTTCCTCTGAAGTGCCCCCCACGGCTCCAGGAACATCTCTGCCTTTCCTAAAGGGAATTGTTAGTACCTGGAGCTGGTGCATCATTGCTGGTGGTCGCTCACCGGTCCCGTGCAGGTTCACACGGTACGTTTTGAAGCGCGTTGCTGGGCAGAGCTTCCTTCCACGGAGAGGCACTGCTTTTGGAAACTTCCAGTTGGATTTTCCTCTGAAGTGCCCCCCACGGCTCCAGGAACATCTCTGCCTTTCCTAAAGGGAATTGTTAGTACCTGGAGCTGGTGCATCATTGCTGGTGGTCGCTCACCGGTCCCGTGCAGGTTCACACGGTACGTTTTGAAGCGCGTTGCTGGGCAGAGCTTCCTTCCACGGAGAGCCCCCCGCTCCCCCGACCGGCACGTCTCGGGAGCGCCCGCTGTCCTGGGCTCGGCTGGGGAGGAGGGAGCAGCCTGACGCCGACCCCCCGGGGTGACCCTCGGGACGCGCAGGCATCCTCGTGCAGCAGACCCCCATCTCCAGCCGCGGCCCTGGCCCAGACACCAACGCTGCCAACAGTTCCGGCCAAGCGAGTAAACCCAAAAGGACTCATTTCCCACCAAACCCCACTTTCCCAAGGTATAACACAGTGTTTGGAGATGCTGAGAGCCTCGATACGTGCGAGTGCCTGCCCAGGAGCGGACCGGGGCTGCTCCACCCCAGGGGTTCTGCGAGCGCTTGGCCAGCCCCAGCCAAGCTCGCCGGTCGAATCCTTCCTCTGCCTTGCTGGGAACAAACCGAAACAACTGCTCAAGCTGTTGGCTTCCCCCAGCGCGAGGTACGGCGTGCGAGGACCAGACACGCTCATCTGCCAATATTTAACAGTTAAGCTGTCACTGTCTCTTAGACAGAGCGCTTGGATAAGCTGCTTAAAAACCAGGGGGAAAGAGATTTTACAGCAAAACGAGCCCTGCAGAGAGGGCTGCTTCCCACCTTCCCAAACGAGGGATCATTTCCTTCTATTTACCAGCCCACAGTCTCATTGTAATTTATGGTCCTTGGCAAAGCAGCGAGAGGCTTCAACTCCACAGTCTTAACCATCGCCATCCGCGTCTGCGGCTGCAGCACTCATCCTCCCCCTGCCAAGGGCGCCCACGGAGGCGGCTGCTGCGATTCCTCCCGCCTCCACCGGATCCTCAGCACGAAGCTCCTTACAGGC